TACTCCTCCTCCTCCTACTGCTACTACTACTGCTCCTGCTTCTGCTTCTGGCATTGCCACTGCCACTGCTTACTGCTACCGCTATACGGCTACGACGACGACAACGACAACGACTACGACTACGACTACGACTACCACCGCCGGCCCACCACCACCACCACCACCACCACCAGTACCAGTGCTGAGTGCCCTTCGTTCTGGTTCGTCTGATCCCACTAAACTTGCAACGAGCTGGGCAGGCCCGTAGTGTATTACGCAGTAGTCTAGGGCTTTAACATCGTGCTTCTGGTTTACAGTTATCATTATCATTACTGTGGTTCTTACCAATTCAATTGCCACCGTCATTGTTATTGTTGAGTTTTTCGGGATGGTTTTCGAAACGAGCCCTTTTAAAATCTAAACCCTCAGCCCGAAACGAACGCATCAAACCGAGACATGGACCCTAAACCCTAAACCCTAAACCCTAAACCCTAAACCCTAAACCCTAAACCCTAACAGGTAGACGAGATGCTCGCCAGTCGGCGTTTGGTCCTCGGGAAAACATCTGAGGTAGTAGAAGTGTCAAGGTTCCTCTAAGTTAGGGGTTTAGGGCTTAGGATTGAGGGTTTAGGGTTTAGGGGGTTCCTGTAAGGGTCACTGCCATAGATAGTTAATGGGAGTAAACTTCCTGGCATTTGGTTATACAGTTATATATGGGTTGCATCGTAGAAAGATTGATGTTTTGTTGGGCCCGGTTATTGAAGAAGAGGGCCGCGAGGGTTCCTAGAAGGGTCAGGATCAGCAGTACCGTGATGAGAACCCCTAAACCCTAAACCCTAAACCCTAAACCCCTACCCCTTGCGCTCAGGAAAGGAGGGCCCGAATCCCCACTGGACGCCCTTCGCGATCTGAGTTACCACTTTCGGGGAGGCCTCCGGAGCCATTTGGGTAGTTCTCTAAATTGGGGTCCCCCTGTTAGGTCCCAATAGTATAGGCAGCCTTATAACAAGGACCATAAAAAGGGACCCCAATTTAGAGAACTACCCATTTCCAAGTCCCTGGGGTTTGTGCAGAAAAGGTGACTTAGGGTGGCTCATAAGTGGCCAGTATGGGTCTTTGAGACCTTCATTGCATATTGCGGCAATGGTATAGGGTGCTGTGCATATTTTCCTGCACACTGCTTGCGAATCAGCGCGCCCGACATTTCTGCCTGAAAGCCATGGCAAGGAGGTAGTCGTCAAGGGCTATGTTGATGGACCAAGCACAGGACCAAGCACATTGGACAGTGAGCTCAGGACTCCCCTACATGTTGAGTGTTCAGAATGCTATGTCATATGAGGCATACGATTTCGACGGGGTTGTTCCTGTTGAGCTTCACATCTCGTTCCTCGGCAGGGTTCTGCAAGATGTCCAGCAAACCTGGATGTTCTTGGCAGGGTCTATCTGCTTACCTAGATTCCTGTTGTATATCCTCGCTCAGCACGGAGTTGCAAGCAGGGACGCCAGGTGATTCAAGTCCCGGGCTCGCAACTTCGGGTGCCCTGCACGCTTTTATGTACCTGCGTACATGATCGCTGCAGACTTGTGCGGGGCCCTGAGGGCAGGAAAAGGGCCCTCTCCATGAACTGTGAACAGAGCTGCTAACTATCAGCTCCGATTGCTCCACTCAGGCCGTGAGGAGCCAAAGGAGCAAACTTCGGCTTTCCTTCGGATTCAGACCTAGAGTGACGAGCCCTAAACGGTAAATCCTAAACCGGTCAGGAGGCGGCCCGTGCGGCAGAAGCAGCGAAGACCATCTACAAGAAGGCTTGAAGAATGAAATGTCCTAGTTTTGCCGATGCGAGCAATGCTTCGCATCCTGACACTAGAAGGGGTCAAGCAGCATTGAAAAGCGCAGCTGTGCAGGAGAAGGATGTCGTTGGCCAGGCCCGCTGCCATCAGAAACATCACAAAACAGCACGCTAAGAACACATCGAGTCCCTAAAGCGTGCAGTCGGGAGCTGTCTCTTGAGGTGGAGTCCCTTTCGCTCGTCGCCCAAGCGCACATGTACATGGCCAGAGCCCGTTAGACAGGTTTACTCCACTGGAGGATGGTGCTTTCTGTTTTTCTCGTTTAGGTCAGCAAGTTGGACGCCACTGAAGAGCCCGTGCCTGAGGTGTTCTCTGAACCCGCTTTTGTCCATCGCTTGTTTGCACCGATTATAAGAGATTCGACGAGATAATCTTGTGATCAGCAAAGCAAGCTTGCAGCTCAAACCATTGCGGAAAGAAGGTTCAGCCCGGTACACTACTTCTTCACTCATGCATCCTGCGTCTTGCCTTCCCATCTTGGCCATCTTCTGTACTTGCAGCATTTTTCGCATTTTTCCGTATTCTCCAGCCATGGCGCCGTTAAAGTTGAACCCGATGATCAGCGAGATGGAGGAGCGGGCGACTCAGCTGTTGCGATGGCAACACTGGGGCCTATCTGTTGTGTCAAGCCCTAACCCACCAGGTACCTACTACCTATAGTCTCCATTGTAGTTCCTTTTTTTGGTGTAACCATTTTTATATGAAGGATCCTATAAGGTAACCCCAAAAAGGAACTACAATGGAGACTATAGGTATATAGGGCCCTAGGGGCTCTAGTACCCTATATAGTAGGTACCTGGGGAGTTAGGGAAGCACACCCCAGGTCCACCACCGTAGCAATCTTCAGCAAGGCACGCTGCGGTGCTACCTGCTTGCACTCAATCTGGTTCGCAGTGCAGACAGGTCTCCAACATGAAGAGTCGCGGTGAGAAGGTCAATGGGGCCTTGTGCGTTCCGCGGGCAGCAGCTTAGTATGACTCCCACAGACCTTCTCTGCCACGTCACATGATACCAGTATCAGAGTCAGCCGTCGAAATTCTCATGCGCAGTGCTTGCAGGTTGGCCAGCCAGACTTCGCACCTCCACCCGAAGCAATCCAGGCGACCCAGGAAGCTGCCGTCAAGGGCTTGACGAGCTACACGGCGGTGACAGGACCCTCCGGCACGGTTTACATCGGGACACGTTGTGCAGCATCTTGAATCCTGAACCTAAGGAAGGCTATGAGGCTATGAAGCTGAAAGCCAAGACGAAAGGCACCGTTCAAACACTGCAAAGCCTTCAGCAACCCTAGACGCCATACGCCATAAAGCTCTCATGAAACCCTTATGAAGCCTTTTTAACCCTTATACAGCCTTATAGTGAAGGCCTTATAAATAAAGACTTAACAAATGCCTCATACAGCACTACGAAACCTTGATTACGTTCAATCAAACCCTTGTAAGCCCTGTGAAGCCCTTGTAAAGATTTCAAAAGCCCTTGTAGCTTACACAGCCTAAAACAGACTTTTTAAATAAACCCTGTAAGAACGCTCTTCCAGCCCTTATAGAGCCCTTAGAACCTTGTAAAGCCCTTCTACAACACTGCAAAGCCTTTGAGGGACCGTTGCCCTTGTCCCTAAAGCCAGGCACCCTGGAGCTGCGGCAGGCTCGCTGGGACGAAGTGAAACAGTAAGCCTTCTAAGGGTTCTGGGGTTTAGGGGTTTAGAGTTTAGGGGTTTAGGGGTTCTTGGTTTAAGGGTTCTGGGTTTAGGGGTTTAGGGTTTAGGGTTACTATATGATTCATCAATGTAGGCATTCGACTCAACGTAGAAACAAGCCTTGTTTTTTTATACGTAGAAACAAGCCTTGTTTTTTTATAATAGCATCAGGCCCTTTTGGTAGTATACAATATAAGAATAGAAGCTTCATGTAGTTTCTTTTACCAGATGTTGGGTTCAGGGGTCTCGGAGTTTGAGGCGCATGGTTTCGGGGGTGCAGTGCTTATCCCTAAACCCTAAACCCTAAACCCTAAACCCTAAACCCTAAGGGTTCGAAGCAGGGCTTCTATGAGGGATTTTGGTGAGAGAAGAAAAGCGGGGGCTCCATACAAAAGGTCGACGACACGACTGTTTAGAGGGCTCCTTAAGGGTTTAGGGTTTAGGGTTTAGGGTTTAGGGTTTAGGGTTTAGGGTTTAGGGTTTAGGGTTTAGGGTTTAGGGTTTAGGGAAGACGATCGTAGTGCATATGCTGGGTTTCATTATGGGACACTCATCCCTGAACTCCAAAACCCTAGGCCCTAGACCCTAAACCCTAAACTCCAAACCCTAAAAACCCTAGTGATGATATAGGGGCCTGAATCATTGGAAAAGGGTTTTGTGGTATACTACGCTATAATCATAATAAGGAGCCCCCGAAACCGTGTTCTAATTATAAATCCCCTACATTACAGACCTTACCTCGTGCGTCTTTGTGCCCCCAACGGAGGCGGTGGCCGAGTATCTCGAGAAGTACAAGAAGGCAGTCGATTAGGGGTTTGGGGTTTAGGGTTTAGGGTTTGGGGTTTAGGGTTTAGGTTTTGGGGTTTAGGGTTTAGGGTTTGGGAGGGTTCAGGGTTTAGGGTTTGGGGTTTCGGCGGGCTTAGTGTTTAGGCCCAGGGTGCAAGGGCTGAAGGGTTCGGGGATTAGGCACCTGGGGTTTAAGGAATCAGGACAGCCGGGATTTTTAGAGATTAAAAATCCTAAACCCCAAACCCTAAACCCTAAACCCTAAATTTTAAAACACAGGGTTTTCAGGGAGTAGGGCCTGCGTAGGGGCAGAGCCATCAGATGTGGGCCCAGGTGAAGTACAGCCCCGACGAAGTGCTGATTGCCTGCGGAGGCAGACCAGCTGTGTGTTAAAACTTAGGGTTTAGGGTTAAGGGTTTAGGGTTTAGGGTTTAGGGTTTAGGGGTTCAGAGTTTAGGGTTTAGGGTTTAGGGTTTAGGGTTCAGGGTTTAGGGTTTAGGTTTTGGGGTGTGGGGTTTGGGTTTTTTTGGTTTACGGGTCAGGGTAGAGGGGAGCGTAGAAGCTTGAACAGCTACCAGTTTACCAAGATCATTCGTCGCGGTTCCTGATCAGATAGAAAGCCGTAATCTACCCCAACCCCTATATTCAGCCTGTTCAAGTTCTTTGCGCCCCCTATGGCTGCGCGAGTCCCTGCCGGTTTCTAGGACATTTTCAGGTGGGTAGTTACCGTTATAGGAGCCTGATAGAAGGTCTATATACCTTATAGAAGCCCTATAGACGCCCTATATACCCCAAACTCCCCACCTGTAGTTTCCTTTTAAGTTTGGGCAGGCAAGCAGGCCCCAAAACCCCTAAACTCTAAACCCTAAACCTTAAACCGCTAAACCTCTTCCCAAACCTTAAACCCCTAAGCCTGTAAACCCCTAAACCCTAAACCTTAAACCCCTAAACCCCTAAACCCCAAAACCTTCAACCCCTAAATGGGCAGGCAAGCAGGCGATCTACCAAGTCGTGATGGCGCTCTGCCAGAAAGGCGACGAAGTGATCGTCCCTGCACCGTATTGGACTTCCTACCCGGAAGCTCGATTCGAATTTCAGATCCAGGGTGTTAGAGTTTAGGCTTTAGGGGTTTAGGGTTTAGGGTTTAGGGTTTGGAGTTTAGGATTTAGGGATTTTTAGGGTTTAGGGTTTGGTAGCCGGCTAAGTTCAGAAAATTAGGGTACCCCTGTTTTCGGAAACCCCCATATCTGCCCCAGGATATTGTGAAGCTGTCGGGAGCGACGCCGGTAATCTTGGAGACAACTGCAGCTCAAGGCCACTGGGTTCTTGTTACGGAATTTGGTTTTAAGCTACCATAAATAAGGACACCCCTAAACCCTACTAAGGGCCCCCCCTCATTATTTACGATAGTATGGTAGCTTACGTGAAGCCAAATAAGCGCCTTCACAGAAGCCCAGGCTATGCTATCGATGCCAAGAGGTTGAATGCCGCGATCACCCCGCGCACTCGCTTGGTCATCGAAGCTCGGCCATATCTTCTCGTGGGTTCCTTGTTTTGGTATCCTGTTGTTGCGGGTAGTAGTAGGGAGGCCCGTTCAAGGCGACCCTTCTTTACCCTACTTCTGGCTCTCTTGAAAGGGACCTTATTGAGGGGGTCTATATCCCCAAGGGTCCCCCTAATCCTAACTCCTATTTTGAGGGTTCCTAACAAGAGTCTATAAGGGCTGCTCTACGGGTTGAGGGTTTAAGATTCGTAGTATTGTTCCTGGGTTCTTGTGAAGGGCTTCCATCTAAGTTACCATAATTAGTAGGGATCTACAGCAAATCATACGGTTTCCTAGTCATGGTAACTTGAACTAGCTTCCTTCACAAGAACCCAGGGTCACCTTCCACACCCTCTTTGCTGTGAGGATGCAGGCCGTCTAGAACCCTTCAGGTAGGGGCCTAAATAATTACCAATATTACTGTTAGGGTCCGTATTATAATTAAAGTACAGTGGACCCCAAAACTCTATTCAAAATATTAAGGCCCCTACATTGCAGAAAATCCGAGGTGTGCAATCCATCGAATCCGACAGGCTCGCAGCGGCTAGATCTGTTAAGGGTTTAGGGTAAACCCAAAAAATTGGAAGCCGGATTAAGGACAACTAGTGCTGTGATTCCCTATACATTACTCTGAAGGATTGAGGCTATTGGGTTTCCAATTTTTGGGCTTCTACTGTAGGGTTTAGGGTTTGCTTTCCAATCTCTCGAGCAGGCTGCGCCATGGGTAAGAGCCAAGTTGAGGAAGTCGCGGAAGTGCTGCGGCAGCCACAAAATCAGCATGTTCTCGCGACTCGGCCTATTCATGGCCTGCTTCATCAATGCCACAACCCCAACACCCCAAGACATCAAGTCCCCATTTTTGTATATACCGATGTACATATATATATATATTTATTTATTTATTTATTTATTTATTATATTATTTTATTCTAAAGATACATTAATATACATACACACACACATATATATATATATATATACACACACACACATAGTATACTCATATTTTTGTCGCAGCCCGAGATCTCCCTAAGGATCAGAGCTCCCTGGTAGCCTCGCACAGCCAAGGTCCTCTCAGATGAAATCTACGAGCGGATTTGTTCGCCCCTTAAGACGATATCTAAAGTCTCGATTGCAGTTCCTTTCTTGGTTGCACCAGTTGATTATTTATTTAGGGTCCCATAAAGGGTAAACCCCAAAAAAGGAACTACAATGGAGCCTATAGATAGAAAAGAAAGCCGTCGTCCTCGTGCCAGCCTGCTCTTCAGGTTATGACGGCACAGAGCACGCATCCTTCGCTGCTCTGAAGGCAATGACATGGCATGAGAGATCCAGTTCGTAAAATCATATACTCAGAAGGTATAGAATTACAGGAAGAATGATGTACTGTAAAGATACATAGTCAGTAGTAGTATATCAAATGGATGTGACATGCTACAGTTCCTTCCCTTCAGGATATGTGGGAGCGTACACTGACGATCAACGGCTTCTCCAAAGCATTCTCGATGACGGGCCGCCCCCTCAGCTTTGCGTGCAGCTGCAATGCACTGCTGCAAGCTGCACAGACCCCTGGCCCTAAAACCTTAACCCTGAACCATAAACCCGAAACCCACAGGCTATCGATTGGGATACCTTGCCGCACCCAAAGAAATTGTCAAAGCCGCCTCCAAGCTGCAGTCTCAGAGACTTGGCGGAACATAGTACTCCAGAATGTAAATCAGTATAAGTTCGTGTTATATTTTTGAATACTATACGTGAGATATCATACCGAAATGTAACACAACAGAGGTTCGCAAAAATGTAATGTATAGAGTACAGTAGGAAGTAGTATAATCTGATAGAGAGACTTGCCGGAACTGCCCCAAGAACGAAAAGCCTGAGAGACTCAGTGGAAATAGTCAGCTTAGGGCTTGAGGTTTAAAGGAGTTTGGGGTTTCCGGGGTTAAGGGTTTGGGGTTTCGGGGTTTCGGGGTTTCGACTTTGGGGTTTAGGGTTTAGGGTTTAGGGTTTCCGGCTTTGGGATTTAGGGCTTAGGGGTTTCGGGGTTTGGGATTCGGGCTTATCCCTGTAGGATCACCTCATGTGCCTCGAGCGTGGCTCAGCATGCCGGCATTGCGGCGCTGCAGTGCGACATGAGCCGCTTCCTTGCAACTCGCCTCTGGCGAAGCATGGGCTACACACCATGGTTATTTCTCATTGTACATAATATTATCAGTAATACTTTTACATGGTTATTACTGCTATTACCGTTGTGGTTGTTGCTATTATTGTTACTATCATACTACTATGTTTGTTATTGTTACTTTCATTACTGCCATTATGTTTATCATTATATTTGATTATTCTTCTTTGTTTTTGTTATTGGCTCCTACATGTTGGCTCCGCTCATTATCACTATCAGTATCATTACTACTTTTCTTGGTATTATGATTGTTATTATTCGTAGTATTGTTGTTACTATTTTTTCTACGTTGATTATCATTAGAGTTCAGGGTGTAGGGTTGTCGCTATGGTTGTTCTTGCACTACAACTGTTACTCATGTGATTGTCGGTCAGGCTACACCTTAAAGCGCAAACCCTAAAGCCTAAGCCCTCAACCCTAATCCCTAATCCTAAAACTCCTAAACGCTAATCCCGAAACCCCTAAACCCTCAACCCTAAACCCTAAACCCTAATCCTCAAACCCCTAAACCCTCAACCCTAAACCCTAAACTCTAATCCCAAAACCCCTAAACCCTCAGTTCTAAGCCGTTTCAGGCTACATCTCAGGGAAAGTCGCCGAGCTCGAGAAGAAGCGGGATCTGGCCCTGGATCTTCTAGCCAAGATACCTGCGGCTCGAAAATCCTGGAAGGTTATCCTCTCCTCTTGAGGTTAGCCATAGGCCCCATAGTAGTTCCTTTTTTGGGGTTACCTTATAGGCTTCTGTATATGAACCCCAAAAAGGAACTACTGTAGGGGAGGTTGTCCTCTCCGCTTGAGGTTACCCATAGGAAAGGAACTACTTTAGGGAAATCCTGGAAGGTTGTCCTCTCTTCTTGAAGTTAAGGGTTTTAGGGTTTAGGGGTTAAGGGTTTAGGGTTGAGGTTAAAGCTATTCTTATTATCATTTTTTACTTTTCTTGGGTATTGGTTCCTAATATAATACAGCGAACCCCAAAAAAGTATTCACTGTTTCCCAGTTGGTTACTGAGCAGCTTAGTAAGGGTTTTATCGGGATTTGTTGTCTTTTCTTCTTGGGCTCTTAGGGCTTTCTAGAGACTCTTCGGCTCTATGCAGGGATCCCTAGGCATGTCCCGGCATGGTAGGTTTAGGGTTTAGGGTAAAAAGGGTCCTGAACCCTAAGCCCGAAACCCTAAACCCTATAAACCCTATAAACCCAAAGCCCGAAACCCTAAACCCTATAAACCCTATGAACCCAAAGCCCGAAACCCTAAACCGTGGTAGTTGCGTCGCGCAGATGAGGATATACAATGCCCGAAGCCTGGGGGCGCCTTCTACTTGCTCCTTGGGCTCAGAAACCCCGAACCCTACCAGCCCGAAGCCTAGTTTGGTCCATTATTTAGGTGTGTTTTTGGTGTTATATAGTTGGTATCATAGATTAAAAAGTTCATATTACGTTACATAATACAACTACTTAGTATATACTTTACCTAAACACCCTGAATCCCTAACATCCTGAAGCCCCCGAAGCCCCTACCGCAAGACCAGCGCAAGGGTCATAGGGTGTGCCTTGTCGTTCCTATTGGGGTTTAGCTTGAGCTTTAGGCGTTGCGGTATGGGGATATGAGACTCCGGGTGATAGGGTTGCCTGTTTACTCGTTCCACAAAAGCACTACGTGTTGAAAACACTGAACCCTAAACCCTAAACCGTAAGCCCTAAACCCTAAACCCTAACCATAACTTTCGCTGAGGTTTCCCGACATCTCTGCTTACTTCGGGCGCTCCACGGCGGATGGGAAAGTCATCCAGGAGTGCTCCTGGTTGTTTCAGGGGGGCATGCGTTTTTTGTGAGTGGGTTTAAGCATACATTATATATATATATGTGGTTTGTGGGGTGGAGGAGTTTGTGCGGTTGCCGTGACCTTGTTGGACTTGAGGGTTGTAGGGTTCAGAGGTCCTGGGGTGTGGTTTGAGGATGCTTGCACCTTTTTTTTTTTTTTTGGGGGGGG